AATGAACTACTGTAGCTGTAAAGTTTTTTCGCTTTGGTTTCGCTATCGCTCGCCTTATAATTGTCGGCCAGCTATATCGATTAAATAGCATGATAGTCTCAATAAATTAATAAATAAGCAATCATAAATAATAAAAAAACAAAACAAACCCCAGTTAAATAATTTACTTGACGTTTTAAAATGTCTGCAGTTGGAAAAAAGTGGACCAAACTGACCTTGAACGACTTAAGAGACCTATGCCAGTCCTGCGGCCTGGATACTCATGGTAACAAAGAAGAATTGGGAGAAAGATTGAGCGCACTTTTCTGTGAAAGAAATGATGTCTCACCTGCCCCTGGTTATAATAACCCAGATGAAAATGATAGGGTTTTAGAAATTACAGAAGACTCTGGACCTGCCTTTGGTGACCCAGGAATTATGCGATGTGATAGTGGTAAGACCCTGGAGATGAGTGATATTTGCTCTGAAACTGAGCTGCCTCCTGGTAGCGGGCCTAGATTAGGAGAATCAGTTGGGAATAGCACTGGGTTTTCTAGTTCATTAAAAGGAAAAAGGAAAACTCACGATGTGACAAAGAATGAAAACCCTGTTCCGGTTAATATGTTCCTTGCTGCATTAAATAAAATTGAAAAGAAAATGGATCACAATTTCGAAGCTTTACAGGATCAGCATTACAGAGAAACGGAACAGCAAACTTTTTTGAGTGAAGCATGGCCTGAAGTTAAACTAGACAGGCCTCGTGATCAGCATGAGTATGATTTTTTGATAAAACTAGGTAAACGACTTGACAAGGCTATAGCACTATTGACTGAGCAAGACAGTAATGAGTTTTGCTCCATAAGAGAGGAGATTGAGTCACGTGCAGTTATGTTACGTCTTGCAAACGATAAGGGTTGGAAAGTTGCATTGCAGGTAGTAGGCTGTAATGACAAAATGATGCAAAAGTACAAGGATCAGATCAGTGCAGCAACACGAACGTGGGTACCACAAACTAACCTTTGGAGGTATACTAAAAGGTCTAATAAGAAAACAAAAAGAAAGTATACTGACTCGTCATCTTCTGAATCAGAAGATAGGTCAATGAAATATCAAAGAAATAAAAAAAGAAAGAGAAACATATTTTCCTTTCGTGACAAAAGAGCCTTTAAATCTCAAAACTCCTCAGACCTGGTCACGTGCTACAATTGTGGGGGAGTCGGTCATATATCCCCAAACTGTCCCTCAACTAATTCAAAAGAATTGTCATCTAAATCAAGATCTAAACAAGACGATTGACTACACTCAGGCGCAGAAAAAAGAAATGACTATGTTACAAAAGAGTGTAGTCGAATCAGTAGTAGGAAAGATACATACCTCAGTAGCCTTAAACTACTGGCGCATAAAAATAAAACCTTCTCCTATAATACTAAATTGGTTAGAAAACGGAGTGCCTCTTTGGCCAAGAGGAGTTTTACCATTAGCAATAAGCCCAGACCCCAAACAATATCCTTTAACAACAGAACAATCAGATTGGATCAAGAACGAATTGCTCCGTTTATTAAAAACCAATGCAATTCGTTGTTTAGGAACTCAGCTAGTACGTCCAGAATTTTTGTTAGAAGTAAGCCCAGTCTTTCTTGTTCCAAAGAAAGGACCAAAGAAATGGAGGATGGTAATAGATTTGAGACGTTTAAATGCAACTCTCCCAGAAAAAAGTTTCCGATTCGAAGGCTTGGGAGGGTTCTTGCGTACAATCGGAAAAAATTGGTATGTCATTACAATGGATCTAAAAGATGGCTACCATCATGTATTGATGACAGAGCAAGCACAAAAATTCTTAGGGTTCAAAGTTCTGGACAGTTGGTATCATTACAGGGTACTACCCTTCGGTTTATCTCATGCTGTATGGGTATTTTCCAAAATAATGAGATCGCTTATTGGCCATTGGAGATCCCTAGGAATTTTCTGTGGAAATCACGTCGACGATATTTGGGTTGCACACCCCTCTGTACAGAAGCTAAAAATAATAAGAGACACAATAATAGAGGTGGATTTAAAGAACTGCGGTTTCGTAAGAGAACTATCCAAGGGCCAATGGGAGCCAACTCAGTACCCAAGGTTTTATGGACTGATAATAAATACAGTCAAAGCAGAAGTAGTGGTTCCAAAAGAAAAAGTCCTAGAGACTCAAAAACTACTTCGGGAGTGTGCTCAAATGGAGTCAATTTCAGCTCGTCGTTTAGCTGCGGTAGCAGGGAAGGTACAATCATTAAGCAGGGCTTTTGCACCTGCAAAAGCACGCTGTCTAGAATTTTATACACTAATAGATGCCATAAACAGAAAACCTTGGGAGTGGGATTCGCAAATAGTATTAACCAATCAGGCCCGAAGCGATGCCAACTGGATAGCACAAAACTTAGAAACAAAAAATGGAAGGCCCGCGTGGAAGCCTTCCAAAGTAAAAACACTTTATGTCGACGCCTCCACAACTGGCTGGGCAGCAGTATTCGAAAAACATCGAGCATTTGGAAGTTGGGGATCAGTAAGGTCTTGCAAAGAAATAGCCAAATTGGAGGCTCAGTCAGTAATGTTAGGGATAAAATCTTTCTCTCACCTATTAAGCCATTCCTGGGTAGATATCCATATCGACAATCGTGTAGCTCTAAGTATGGTTACCAAAGGTGGAAAACTGCCTTGGCAGAAGGAAATACTCCGAGAACTTTGGGAGTTACTAGACAAACACGATATCTGGATAAACGAAACCCTTTGGGTTCCTTCTCTAAAAAACCCTGCAGACAATTTAACTCGGGTCTTAGACCCTTCCGACTGGAAGCTTTCTCAAAGGGTATTTACCATATTAGAGAAAAAATGGGGCCCACATACAATAGATCGTATGGCAAACCACCTCAATACAAAACTACCAAGGTTCAACAGTCAACTCTACTGCCCAGGAACCGAAGCAGTAAATTGTTTTTCACAAACCTGGAAGGACGAAAACAATTATATTTGCCCTCCATTAGGCCTTGTTCACCGAGTTCTCCAGCATATAGTTCAAGAGGGTTCTACAGCAACTGTCATCATCCCAAAGTGGCCCTCCGCAGAATGGTGGCCAATATTAATGCACCATCTGACCGATTACATAGATATGCCTCCACCTTGGATAACCTTCGAAAAAGGAGCTTCAGGACAGGTAGAACCATTAAGAAACCTGAGATGGCAATTTATGGCAGCCAGAATAAATTAGTAATGGCATTGTTGGAAAAAGCACATTGTATGGTTAGAAAGGCTTGCTCTAAAAATTGGAACATCCGTCTCGATAAAGCTTGGAATACCTTTGTTAATTTTTGTAAAATCACAGGTCAAAATGCCTTTCCTTCTTCAGAAAAAACTCTCCTATCATGCCTAATTTGGCTTGACTTAACTGATACTATTTCAAGCTGTTCTGATATATTAGCAGCAGTGTCAAGAGAACATTTAGAGTCATCTCTACCAGATCCCTCAAAAACATACAATGTAAGGAAAGCATATAAGGCACTCATGAAAGAATCTCGTAAAGAGCGTGAACCAGACTGGCCACGTGATCCTTTGCCTATTTTTGCATTGCACCAGTTTGTTATAAATAAACCACTGTATATAGATGAAACTATGTGGATACGTGATGCAGCTCTCATTGCAATTGGTCTAAGAACTATGCGTCGCCCCTCAGAATTGTGCAAAATGAAGTTAAATGATATTAGACTCTGTAATAATCTATGCTGGGTCCGAATATCTAACTCTAAAACCGACCAATTCTCTAATGGGAGGTTCATCCCAATTGAAATATCTAATAACCTTTGCTGTCCAGTTAAACTTCTTAAAAATTACTTGAAAATCCGTCCCAAAACTCCTGCTAACTGGCCCCTATTTCTGTCAAAAACAAGAAAACAAATGTCAGTTGGAGCAATTGGTGCCGTTGTTAAGAGAATAGCAGAAAATGCTCATTTGACAGGCCGATATACAGCACATAGTATTAGGATTGGTGGTGCAACAGCTGCAATGGAGGCTGGTTTCTCACTAACGCAGATTCGCGCAATTGGCGGATGGGACAGTAAAGCTGTCATGCTTTACTTAAGATCCATTGGTACAGCACAATTGGAAATATCTAAGAAAATGGGTTTCTAAATAAATTAAATAAAAAGGGGGGAGCAACAAACTAGCAATTGTAAACCATTTCGATCCTCTTTGTTTTCCCATATGTATATTCCCTTAAATATGTTTTATAATAAATAGATCGAGCAATAATAATGA